GCCTCTTCTTGAATAGACTACCCACTAAAGACAACCTCCTCAATCGTGGTATTGACCTTTCTTCCAACCCAAAATGTGTTTTTTGTGGTGATAGTGTGGAAGATATTAACCACATCTTTGCATTGTGCCGATTTTCCCAAAACATCTGGACTCGATTATGCTGCTGGTGGGGAACTCCTTTTTCTCTCGTTGGTAACGCCTCCCTCCTCCTTTTGCAACTTTGTTCACTTAAGCCTGGCATAAAATCTCAAAGTTGTTGGGTGCTTTCTGTTGTTACAACAGCATGGGCCATTTGGTATTTTCGTAATGGTATCGTGTTTAACAACCTTACTTGGAATGAAAATACTATCTTTGAGTTAGTGTTAACAAAGACCTTTGGTTGGATAAAGGGGAAATCTAAATCTGCTATGTTCAATTACAGTGATTGGTGCCAGTTTCCAACTTTATGTGAAGCTTAATTCTGTTTCTTATTTTGTAAAAGTTGAGTGGAATTTTGATAATGATGATGGGAGTATTGTAAATATGAGTTAGAGTACCCATTATACTCTATATTAATAAAAAAATTTATTTGGCTGATAAAAAAAATAAAAAATAAAAAAATACTAAATTTATTAAAGTTGAACTAAAGGAGTATATACTTTTCTAATATTTTGATTGTCCTATTATTTTTAATTCTATAGACCATTTGTTCCGATTGTTCCAAAATACACCATAGAAGGGTGGTGGCAAGTACTCTCTTGTCCATCTCAAAACTAAGAAATAACTCCAAGAAATCATCCAAAAAGGAATCTTATCTAATATCTTCCAGCTGTATGTTCGGACAGGTGACTCTCCAACAACCCTCTCTACTCCAACAGCAATGAATGTAATGTATTGTAGCAAGACTCATCTTCCTGAGCGCAAATGTCACACGCGGATTCAAGAAGGAACCCCCCCGCCTCTTAACCACATCCCTGGTTGGCAAGGTTCCCCATATCCATCTCCAGAAAAAATGCTTGACTTTTGGTGGGACCTCAAGCGTCCATACCGCATTCCAAACCGGCTTAATCTCTTCATTGTATTTCTGAAACTCATTTGCAAAGATAATATCTCGCACATAACGGTAAGCTGATTTTACACTGAACTTACCATTGTTAGTAGTACCACCCCATACCCGTTGTCATTTTTGCAGTGCTTACTCAATGGAATATTAAAATTTTTTCAGCATCATTATGTTTTTTTTCTCAATCCAACATGGGGTCTCAAATTTGCCAAAAAAGGAAATAAAAAACGTGGGTTCTCCAACTCTTATCCATAGAGATATCTCATTGGATGTGTTTTTCTCAAAAATTCTAAACTGGCACCAACGCATGACAAACTTCAAGTGTAGGATCTTGCTCTGGTGTAAAGCCAGAAAGAAGGATTTTGCAACAACTCTCGCCTTCCAAGCAATTAACTTATATTAGGATGGTTGGAAAAAATGTTGGTTTAAAGTTGAGTTTTACTCTTTCTTTTGAACGATTTGTTAGAGAAAGCAATATTTTTTTTGGAGAATGAATTACTGATTTATCTTAAACAATTCTAAAGACTTTAAAATATTACTAAGAACTAAAAGTTTAAAGATCCAAAATAAAATGAATGGAATGGAAACTAAATGACCTTTCATATACGTATTAAACTAATGAACCATTGACAGATTAAATTAAGTCATTGCAAAACTAGAAAATTAAATGGGTTTGTTTTGTTTTGGATGATAGATGGTGGAGTTGTTGTGCTTCCCTATGGCAGAGGAAAAGGTAGGGTTAGACCTCTATCCAAGTTGATGCATTTTTAATAATGTGTTTGGATTGGGGTATTTACGGGGAAGGAGATGAAGAGGGTTAGGGGAAGATCGCCCCTTCTTTTTATTAATGGAGAGGTGATGGAGCCCCATCAACTCGGAGGAACTGCAAGAGATTTAGTTTACACATGTAATATTTTTTAGTTTTTT